TATATAGTAAACTCAGTAAATTAACCAATGGAAAATAAATCAGCACTAATTATAGACATATGTAAACATATTCCAATAGCTCAGGTGCAGTAGTTCTTAGTTCATCCTGTCCATTCCAGTCTGATGCTGTATCCAGTGTTGATGCTGTTGTAAATGTTGGTGCAGAGTTTATAAGATGTGCTGTGGTTTCAATTGCCTTCTTGTTGTCCACAAATTCCACGGCTCTTTTCACCCAAGGCATTAGTGGATTGGCACAAATTAAATGACCTCTGACTGTTTTAAATCTGTAAATACATAAAAGTAACAATTAAGCATAAAAATACAACAAAATATACAAATGTACAGATGCTTATTTAATTTAAACTGTATATAAGTACCATAAAAGGGTCTGTTTTGGTGTCAAAATTTAATGGGTAAAAATTGTCAGTGCACTAAAATAAGGCCTGGCCAAAAGAACAGTACAAACAATACCATAAGAAAAAAAAAGAGAACCCATTTAATGGCATCAAAATGACAGATGTTTGCTTTATGTATCTTGTAACTTTGGATATCTTCCTTGCGGAGAACAGCTTCTGATATCTTCAAACAAGGGCAAAATAAATGGCCAATCGCTACAAGCACCCAAAGAAAAAAAATTAACAGCTGACATTTTTTTAGTCAAGACAATTTAACTGAAATAACTAACTCTAACCAGGTGCACCAAAAAACAAAAAAATAGACATTTGTTAAGAAATTCAAATAGCTCAGGTGATGTACTTTTTAGTTCATCCTGTCCATTCCAGTTTGATGCTGTATCCAGTGTTAATGCTGTTTTAGATGTTGGTGCAGAGTTTAAGGGATGTGCTGTTGTTTCTAAAGCCGACCACTTATTGTCCACAAACTCTGTGGCTCTTTTCACCCAAGGCTTTTGTGGATTGGAGCAAAAAGTTAGACCACTGGCTGCTTTAAATCTGTAAATATATAAAAGTAACAATTTAGCATGAAAATACAACATAACATATACATGTTTATTTACAAAAAAAAAAAAAAAAAAAAAAAAAAAGTACCATAAAAGGGTGTGTTTTGGTTATAAAATATTTTTGGTAAATACTAAAATAAGGCCTGGCCAAAAAAATATATATTCTGGCATAACTAGTTCAGATTTATCATGAAATATACACTGTAAAACCTAACAGTCAGATTTATTTAATGAAATGAGATTATTTCACTCAAATATTACTGAAAGTTCATTGCACTTAATAGAAAAAATTATGTGAACTCAATAACTGATTATATTAAGCAGAACTCAAACTGAATGAGTTACAGCAGATTTCTAATTCTCTCAGGATGCTTTGCTTTAGATTCTCTAAGGAGAGTAAATGTTGACAGAAATGTTATTTCATGTGTTTTTGCACATAAATAATATACAGAGATCTGTTAGTGTTTATTTTTGTTATGCTGGCCTGGGATTAGCTAGCTAGCTAACAGGTATAAGAAAAGAGAAAAGGCAATGTTATGAAATTAAATGGTTTAAATCAATACAGTAATTGAGTTGTATTTTAGGAAGTATTATTTCACTGAAATTAAATTAATTGAAATTGGTAATCTGTTTCCTTAACTGAAATGGATTTTACGGTGTAGTGTTGAATAGTGTGAGTTTTATCAGTGTATGCAATACCATAAGAAAAAAGGATAACTCACTCAACGGCATCAATATGGCAGATGTCTGCTTTATGTATCTTTTGATATCTTCCTTGTGGAGAACAGCTTCCGACGTCTTCAAGCAAGTGCAAAGTAAACGGCCAATTGCTATAAACTCCCAAAGGAACCAACCCCCCCCAAAAATTAACTTTTAGTCAAGACAGTTAAACTGAAATATCTAACTTTAAACTAACCAGGTGCAAATAAAAATAAGAAACAGAAAAAAATACACACATTTGTTAACAAATTCTAATAGCTCAGGTGCAGTAGTTCTTAGTTCATCCTGTCCATTCCAGTCTGATGCTGTATCCAGTGTTGATGCTGTTGTAAATGTTGGTGCAGGGATCATGGGATGTGCTTTCTTTTTAATTGCCTTCTTCTTGTCCACAAATTCCACGGCTCTTTTCACCCAATGCATTAGTGGATTGGCACAAATGAAACGACCACTGACTCTTTTAAATCTGTAAATACATAAAAGTAACAATTTAGCATGATAATACAACAAAATATACAAAAGTACAAAGGCCTGGCCAAAATAGTTGAGATCTATTGCAGCATACACGCCTCCATAGAAAAAAGGACTCACAAAATGGCATCAATATGGCAGACGCCTGCTTTTTGTATCATGTAACTTTCAATCATTTCCTTGCGGAGAACTCGATTTGATGTCTTGAGACAAAGGCAATTTGACACGCCACTTACTACAAACATCCAAAGGAAACAAAAGCATTTTAACACAGGCATTCATTTTGACAACAGTTTAATTCAAAATAACATCATATATTGGAATTAGAGTTAATATGGAGTTTTTATTTATTTATTTATTTTTAATTATTATTATTGTTGTTTTTTTGTTGTTTTTTTTACAAATATAAAAAGTTTCTTACTTTGGCAGGTGACTTGAGCGAGCAGCATTGTAGCCAGGCACAGCAGAAGAGTTATCGACACACAGCTCATCTTGTCTTGTGAGTCTGATGCATATTACCTCGGCTCACCACAACTTACATACTTTTATAAACACTCACAAGCAGGAAAATGAACATCAGAACTTCCTCCCACAGAGATGTCACCTTACTCACAAAACCTTTCTGCAAGTTAAATAAAGAAACATTATAGAGACCTGCCAATAAACAACAAATTAACAGTTCTGCACCTTGCATCATGCAAATGCCAGGGGGTTTAGACACTCAGTAGCAGCTTTTGCTATGTTGTTTCATCTGTTTCAGTTGAAATAGGCATTGCAACAGAAGGGGCCTTCACTTGAAAAGAGCCCCTACCCCGCAGTCATGCCACACACACCCCAGGGTCAGAAATTAACGGGAGCCATGGGGAGACAGTGGCACCAAAATGATTGAAAACATATGAAAAATTCAAGATATGGGGTAAAAATTACCCCGTATTAGTCGATTGATTTTGTACAACAGTTCAATGAACAAGATGTTAATAGGTGACGTTCAGACTCAAATTTAATGTCTATTTGGTTGCTCTATTTTGCAAACAAAAATGGTTAATTGGCATGCTAAAAAAGAGGCTTTGTCAAAGCACTGTAACATTACACTATACACAGCAAGTGAACAGTCAGTTCTTGAATTTCATGTCTTAGAAGCAGGAAAAATGGACAATCAAAAAGATATGAGTGACTTTGACAAGAGCCAAATAGTGAAGGCCAGATCACTGGCCAAAAATCTCCAAAATGGCAAGTGTTGTGGGTTGTGTTCCCAGTATGCAGTGATTAGTACCTACCAAAAATGATTCATGGAAAGACAACAAGTGAACCAATGTAAGGGTCATGGGCAGCCAAGGCTCGATGATGCATGGTCTGATCACATAGAAGAGCTACTGTAGCTCATATTGCTAAAAAAAAAATAATGCTGGCCATGATAGAAAAGTGTCAGAACACACAGTGCATCGCAGTTTGCTGCGTTTAGAGTGCCCCTGATGACCCCGGTCCACCGCCTAAAGCAACTACAATGGGTATGTGAGCATCAGAACTTCACAATGGAGCAATGGAAGAAGACTGTCTGGTCTGACAAAACACGTTTTCTTTTAGATCAGCTGGATGGCCGGGTGTGTGTGCGTTGATTACTTGGGGAAGAGATTGTAGCAGGATTCACAGTAGAACTGCAACTGACTGGCATTCATGTACAGCAGATGTTACTTTGACACTTACCACGGTAGTTGCAGACCACGTACACCCCTTCATGGCAATGATGTTTCCTCATGGCAGTGGCCTCATTCAGCAGTATAATGCACCAGCCACACTGCAGAAATTGTACAGGTATGGTTTGAGGAACTTGATAAAAAGTTCAAGGTGCTGCCATGGACTTCAAATTCCCCGGATCTCAACCTGACCAAGCATCTATGGGATGTGCTGGACCAACACATCTGATCTATAAAGGCCTCACTCACAACTTGCAGGACTTAATCTGCTGTTAATGTCTTGGTGCCATATACAACAGGACAGGTCTTGTGGAGTCCATGCCAGGTAATAAGCAGGTAAAATTAAACTAATTATATAAATAAAATTATATTAATAATATTTTCAAACCAAATCAACCCATATCCACATATTTACTTATTTGGTGATCAGTCACATTACAACTGAGTCTTCAAACCGTTCACTTAAACAATGAAGATATTTGCTTAAAAAAGAGATTTTTCAGATACAACCTGTCTGAATGGTTAGTACGGAACCCCAGACATGACATGCGGGAAAAAAAGATTTATATTGTGGCCAAGAATTAACATTTCGTTCCCAAGACTTGCTAATTCATCACCTTGTTTTAAGTAAATCGTGCTCACAATTTACTTCAAACGAATTGTTCATTTGTGGCCACCATATAAATATTTTTTCCCCGCATATCATGTCTGGGACTCCATAGGTTAGTTAGTTAGTTAGTTAGTTAGTATTACATTTACATAATGCTTTTATTGACACTCAAAGCACTTTACATTTACATTTGGAGAGAGGAAATTTTCTCAACCACCAACACTGTGCACCATCCGCATGGATGACGTGACAGCAGCCATAGTACACCAGAACGCCCACCGCACACCAGCTTACATTTACATTTATTCATTTAGCAGATGCTACTATCCAAAGCAACTTACAACTGAGGAAAACAACAAGCGACTCATCATAAGAGTCAAATAATCACAGGACGTGCTTGTAATACAAGGTTCAGACATCATTTAGAAATAGCATAAACAGGGAGAGATTAAAAAGAAGTGAAAGCATAGTTTTTGTTTGTTTATTTGTTTGTTTTTTTCAATAAGGAAGCAGTTAAATGTTGACAGAAGAGATGAGTTTTCAGCTGATCATTCCACCAGCAAGGAACAGTCAATGAAAATGTTCTGGAAAGTGATTTTATGCCTCTCTGTGATGGTACCATGAGGTGTCGCTCACTTACAGATTTCAGGTTTCTGGAGGGGATGTAAACTCACAAGAGCGAGTGGAAGTATGAGGGTGCTGAACCCATGGCTGTTCTATATGCAAGCATCATTGTCCTGAATTTGATGCGAGCCTCAGCTGGACACTAGTGAACAGAGATAAAGAGAGGTGTGACGTGGGCCATTTTGGGTTTGTTGAAGACCAGTCGTGCTGCTGCATTCTGAGGTTTTGGTGTCAGTATACGCTCCTTCCAGAACCTTGAGATCAGAAAAACAACACCTTCTCTGTGCTATTAAGACCAAATACAAATATATGGGTTATAGAGCTTTTTACAGAGCCGGTCCAAAATTGTGGAATTACCTCCCCCCCTCTATTAGATCTACTAAATCACTACCCGTGTTTAAAGCCATGCTGAAATCACATCTTTTAACCGAGAGATTTTATGAGCAGGTCTTGACTCCTACTTGGTGTATACTATGTCAAAGTCAAAGTCAAAGTCACTTTTATTGTCACATCACTTGGTCTTGTCGATGTTGAGTGAGAGATGATTCTCCTGACACCATTTAGTCAGGGTGCTCACCTCCTCTCTGTAGGCCGTCTCATCGTTGTCGGTGATCAGGCCTATCACCGTTGTGTCGTCAGCGAATTTGAGGAAATTCGCTGACGACACAGCGAATTTCGCTTTCTTTCATTCTTTCTATGTGAAAGAAAGAAAGAAAGAAAGAAAGAAAGAAAGAAAGGTTTTACTGCAGATGATGAAGGTCAGCTGTTCATCAAAGATTATGCCAAATTTTCTGACTGAGCTTGATGGGGTAATTGTTGATGAACCAAGCTGGATGATGAAATTGTGATGTATTACTGGTGGAGGGGAGAAAGAGTGATGATGCCAATCTGTAGATACAGTATGGGGATGATTAGGAGGCCATGATGATTGACAGAGGCCAGTGGCCATATTTGGCCAGGATGCCGGTGTTACACTCTGTTCAAAGAACATTTTTCATGACCACAGACAGTCAGGACATCAGTTTAAGGTCTCATCTGAAGGATGGTGCTTCTTAACAGTAGAGTGTCCCCAAGACTATACTGGGGTGCTAGGAGCCACACAGACCACCGGGTGAACACCCCCTGCTGGCCTCACTAGCACCTCTTCCAGCAGCAACCTAGTTTTCCCCAGGAGGTTTCCCATCCAGGTACTGACCAGGTTCAACCCTGCTATACTTCAGTGGGAAACCATGTGAGAGCTGCAGAGTGATAGCTGCTGGTAATGGCATCATTATGATGTTGCATTGGCTGCTATGATATGCAACCATCATCCCAGACCACAAAAACCTGACCTAGCTTTCATTTACCTCACTGACTTTCGCTCTTGTTTTAAATTAGAAATTCAGACAAGGCCCACTCATTTTATCTGACATACGAACATTTCTGTTGATCCATGGGATAAACTGCTAGCCATAATGTAAATGCAGTAGTCAGTAGGCTCAACATCTAAATGCAACTAAGCTCTACTGATTTTTACATATAGTACACCAGAGACATGAGCTTGACTTTATGGAAAACACATTGCCCACCAACCTATTCTTTAAGCACCCACATTTACTCACAAAACCCACCCTGTGATCTACTCCACCTCCTCTCAAACCATCATGTGTGCATGGAATTTAATGCATCATGCAAAGGGTACGGGGGTTTCAGCGTGCACAACTGCAGTTCTTCACATGCACACATGCATTGTCTAACTGTTTTTCATATGCAAATACAATATTGGAAAAAAATTATTTAAATGTAAGATACTGTACATGAGTCAGACTGCTATAGTTTGAGTGACATATTTGTACAGTGAAAGGAGAAATCCCACAGAACAATGTGGATTAGTGTCTAAACCCACACAAGGGTTAACAGTGTGTGTGTGTGTGTGTGTGTGTGTGTGTGTGTGAACACTTCACTATGTTCTACCCACTGACACACTCGCAATCACGTATTCACGCACACAAAGGTCAAAATTACTTCAGAATGAACATTTTAACATATCACATTTAATTTATTCATTTTATGTTTTTTAAATTGTACAGGTGAGTAAATACACTAGTGAAACACATTTTAGAACTAATCACACAGCCACTACATTTTTAATAGTTATTAACTACATTAAGAAAAAAAAAACACTCCATTTATAGCTTATTATTATAGTCGACTAAAACTAAAACCATAAAATAATTTTTGTTTATCAGCTAGTTGTCAAGGCAACATTTCTCATTTTTATTTAGTTTGTCTTGATATACTAAAATAACTAAAACTGAAATAAAAATTTATGAAAACAATTTAAACATTTAAAATAATAATAACAATTTTTTTAAAAATCACACACCAAAATTACTAAAATTTTAACAAAAATTAAAACTAATTTAAAATATTAATAAAAATTATAATACTATCGTAATGATACTTAAAAAGTCCTGTTGAGCTGAATAAACAAAAAAATCATGCATAGCACTGCAATATATTTTCTGCAGTCATTTTTAATTAACCAGGTGTAAATAAAATAAAATCCAACA